TAAATGAGAAGTAATTAAAAAAAAAAAAAAACAAGACAAGACTATTTAATCTAGTTTTACCGATCTTACTACTTCAATTCAAAACAATGGCCTTGTAAAACTTATTGAATGAAACTAGTTTACGGATTTTATCTCGTTTCTATTTTGATTTCGAAACGTCGGGAATTTCTAAATCAAAATAAAAACGCGATAAAATACGTAAAGTAGTTTCATTTAATACGTATAATATTTGCGTAAAATCAAGAAGTCAACTTGTGAAACTTGTTAAAATTTTCATTTGATTTGTACCTCAGATCGCTGGTCATAGATTATCACTTTCACAGTGATAATCTATGACCGAATTCAACCTTTTCATTGTGAATAATGCTGCTATCTGATGGTAAATTGAGGCTCCATTTTTGAATTGGTCTTAAGATTTATCGGTTCTGAAATAGTACCGCCTAAACTGATGAAGTAGCTGAACGCAGCATTAAGCTTACAAAGTAACGTGTCGACAATGTGTCAATTGTGTTACTAGTCGACGCCTTTAAGATTGAGCAAAGGACTCGTGACTCATGTACATTGCCTTAGAGTAATAGATGACATGATTCTTCCTGAAAATATGATAAGTATTGACAGTGTTTATGCTAGATTTTTCTTCCCATTGTAATTTATTTATCCAGGAAAATCTTCGTTCATATAAGCGCTACACAAAATATAGCGTTCCCACCTTGACGGATATATGTAAGATGTCAATATGATTTAAAGTAATACACGATTTAAACTTGAACATAAAAACTTCTATTAAAGTTTAATATCCTTACTAATATTATAAACGCGAAAGTTTTTATGTATGGATGGATGTTTGTTACTCTTTCACGCAAAAACTATTGAATATATTTTAATTAAACTTTACAATAAGATTACACACCCTTTACACTTACTTTACATCACAATAACACACAGTCTATAATTAGTAAAGATATTGTATGAAATATAGCTAATATAGCTAACGATAAGTGTCAACTAAGTAGGAATAAGTTAGAAAAAACTCATTGTTAATTCACTTTGGCCGCGCGGGCGAAGCCGCAGTTAACAGCTAGTTCTTAATAAGGCCTGTTCAAATTAAAGAACTTTATTACAGAGTATTGTTAGATACGAGACAATAAATAAAATAACACAAAAATAAGATTTCAACGAATCATTTATTTATTTCATTGCCGTTTATGAGGCACGACTACCAAAACCAAAAATTGGGTTTCGAATACTTATTAAATTATATTTTTATCACACTTTACATAAAATAGTATATTACTATAATATTATTTTGTGTACATAAAAACTCAGGGATTTCCTTATGACTGTCCAACTAAGGCTTCTTTTCTTAATATATGTCACGACGTGTCGCCTTCGCAAATTTCGCTTACGTTGAAATTTCACACTAAATATTTCGCTTTATTTTTCTCGCTTACTCATTCCACTCACGTTGCCTACGCAATAAATAATTAAGCTGAAATTTCTGCGTTGCATTCGCCATCTTAATCATTCCGATTTGGTAATTAAGTCGGATGGAAATGGTTTTCCCCGTAATTGAATGTTTCTGAGCGACGACGTCATTTCTCCTGAAACGGTTTCCGAGGTCACGTAGACCAAGCAAAGAGGAGAGGGTAAGTTACGTAAATTTATTATTTATTTATTTCTTATATGTCTCTTCGGTTTAACACATACCATCTACTTTTCACCATGACAAGTGTTGACTGGTAGAGAATGCCATTAGGCATTAAGTCCGCCCATTGTAGCTTTTAGCCTCAGGTGTAACAATGAAGTGTAAATAAATAAATAACAAGTACAATTTTGAACAAAAAAAAAACCGACTTCAAACAGGAAACTAAAAACATTGTCAACACCTATAACATTTGAGGATTGCCCTCGATTTCGCTGCGATGCAATCATCAGATCTGGGTTTCCTTATCATGGTACCACACTTGGGATATCTCTTTTCCAACAAAAAAAAAGAATCATCAAAATTGGTTCATAAATGACGAAGTTATCCCCGAACAGACATAAAAAAAATAAAAATATATATGGTCGAATTGAGAAACCTTCTACTTTTTTGAAGTCAGTTAAAAACACTGTTGTTAAGGCATTTATCAAAATTAGTGTTACACTTTTAATAAAAAGTACTCCTAAATGTTTAGAATAATTAACATAGAACTCCATTATTTATTGTCAAATATTTAAAAAATTTAATAATATTATTTTCAGGATTAACTTCTGTATTCGAGGCACATAATGTTTTTATGTTTTGTTTTCTTATTTTTTTTACTTTTTATTTAAGTAGTTACTTTCAATACCTTTGTCTTTTGGTTTTTTAATTTAATTTATAACTTAATATTGTTTAATTATACCGAAGCATGTAGTGTACATATATTTTTGGCGGACAGTGTGTATAAGTTGCCATTATTAAGATTATTGTTAAGATTATTGTACTGTTTGCTGTTCTATTACGAAATAAGATTAAAAAAAAAAGTGGATAGGTATCTATGTTACACTCGTCAAATATTGAAAGCTAAAGTTATCTATTAAGACTGATGATATCTGATTTCTGACTGATTTTATCCAATACTCAACAATATGATTTCGATGAAAGACACCAAATTTTTTAAATATTATAATTAATAATGAATTGTTATTGTTTTTCGAACATTACGTTTACAATATGATATTGGTGTAAATAGAAAATTGGATAATAACTGATAATATCCGGCAAATAAATATGTCGGACAAGATCATGATTTCGACTTTTAGCAAAATGTCGTATATCCGACAACAATGGTAGGAATAATACGATGGGCGCGTTCGCTTCGTCAAGCACAATGTTGTGGCGAATTAAGTACTATTGTGTTATACCGTACGTATTGTGCCATGAGGCGTGATAGCTCAGTATCCGGGCGCTCGCCTTTAATTCAATTTACTCGAGCAACCTGAGCTCGATCCCCGGTGCCGGCACCAATGCAGTTGTTAATTATAAGTGATGACTTATCACGTGCTCATCGGTGAAGGAAAACATCGTGAGGAAACCTGCATGATTTCGAAATAATAACAAAAAAAATATTTCGAAGGTATGTGAAGACCGCCTACCCGCAGTGGTGTCCCGATGTGAACTGTGCCCTGATAAACAAATAGATAAATAATATGTAATGTGCTACGTAAATTATTGACATATTTTTTCTGTCTCTAGGTCAGTAAAAGCCTTCAAAAATGCCGAAATAAGCCTGAAACGTATACGTGGAATATCCTGTAGACAAAGGATTAAGATCGCTGAACGACTGATCATGGATGGTGGTGTTAATTTAAGCTATTTAATTACCAGTTAACGTTAATGTATTTCAAAAAGTGAAGGAAAATCTATTAAACGGGGTTTTGCGGTTACAATAACTATGAGCCTAATTATCATAATACAGATGATGATAATTAATTCGAAATTTAATGTTAACAACTTTTAAATGAATAACAAAGGGGTGGAAACAAGTGGATTTATTTTGTTTCCACTTCCTTGTGCAATTGTTGGCTGTTTACTGTTTATGAAAAATCATTTTCAATGTGAATAATCACAGATGTGATCAATAGTATGCAGGTGCATGTAATTATGACACTGCATACAACGGCTTACTACGTTGACGAACCGATTGGCGTTGTGTGTAGTGAACCTGCCACTTGCTCCAGACGGTGTGGATTCAATCCCTACTACTGGAAAGATATTGTGTGATGAACATAGTGTTTTTCCCATGATTAGGTGTTTGTATATGTATTATATAATATAATATATATTTATTTGCAAAAGAAAAGTATGTCTAAGTATGTTTATCAGTTATCTGGTACTCATAGTACAAGTGTTGCTTAGTTTGGAACTAGAGGAATGTGTCCTTAAATAATTATATATTTATTTTATTTATATATTGTTACTATTGCAACATTAATATTTTGCAGCGTTAAATTTATTCTTAGATAATGCAATAACTCTCTATAAATTTTAAGATTTGTATTTTATGTGTGATAGTAAAATAGATTCGTGTAGCATTTAAATTTATATAGAGAAAGAAGCTAATTGTAGACAGAGCTAATCTTAGAGATTTTATATTGTAAATTACGATTTTCACTACAGAAAGAGTAGGTTACTACGAGCCACGTAGACGTTTGCGTGGGCGTAGACCGGCTACGAGCGTAGTAGAGGCGTGGCATTTGTTGTTATTTTGACGGCAAGCTGTCTGGTACATTCACCTATTTTGTCAAAACAGTTTTGTCCTTGTACTTGTGCCAATTATTTTGTATATTTCTAAGAATATATTTATTTACTTCAATCAAATTTCATTATTTTATGGACTATTACGTGATTTTTCTCAACTCTTGTCAATTAAATTATTTTTGATCTGAACAAATTTTCCAAAATACTACAATAAACGTCCCTGCTAAATCTGGAGTAAAAAAAATTAAAGCTGTTAAAATGTTTTTTTCATGCTTTTACGTTTTTAAGACATAAGAAATATTTCTTATCACTTGGATGACTTTTATTATTTGGAACAAATCTATATATATATATATACAATGTTCTAATTTTTAAATTGGGTCAGTTCATAGATAGCCGATTATTAATAGAAAATTTACTGTAGAGGCAAACACATGAAATAATAAATAACTATTTATTAGCGTATGAAAATTATTATTGAACTCCAACTACTCTTGCTAGTTGTATTCTGAAACCTGAGAAACTTTTAAATTAAAATAAACGTATAAAATTGTATGCAAATATACTAATTATTATACAGAATATAAATATTGTACGTTAACAGCTACAGGTAGGTTTCGAGGATTTAATCATAAACAAGTAAACAATTAACAATTAACTATAGTTTGAATCACGATATTTTAATCAATGTTAGTTAACGGAAGTTAACATCCAACGATCGAGCTCGTCATTGATGTGTGAAAGATAACGGAATTATACCGTTTTAATAAACACAATGTTCATCGTTCACGTGTTTGAGTTTGAACTGAGAGTAAATGAAAATGTGATCGGAAAAACTCCTCAGTTGATAAGTAATTTGAAGCGGGTTTTAATGTAAGACGTATGAACCTTGGGTCACCAAGAATTATCAAATTGTAATATGCTCCGTACATGTATGCTATTTATATAATAGGTATGTATTTAATCAACGTTAACTTGAATGATTGAAGATATTTGACACAAAAACTAAAATTACAATTCTATCTTATTTTTTATTTGTAAGGAATGGTAAACTAAACGCTAAAAGCTAAACGATAAATATTAAAATACCACTAAATTTAATTATAAATAAATGTTTCAAAATAATATTAAGATATTTGAAATCTTGAATATTCATTTTATAAGAACTTGTACCGTTTTCCCTATTCATTAAGAACCTTGTCAATACATCAAAATAAATGTCTCAGAACGATAACGTAAAATACATGTTTACGCAACTCCTATTTAAAAATCAATTTATTATAAGATTTACTTAATATTAGTGCCACGGCGTAATTGATGTTAACTTGATGAAAACTAAATTAATATGCCATCGAAAATTGTAAGTGCCCTTGCCATTTTTTGTAAAAGAGTGAAGAATCCATATTTATCTGCTTTGATCAATCAATTCTTTTATGTATGTTTGTATATATAAATGTAAATGTTTTGTTTGTGTGCCCATGTATTAATGTTATATATATATATATATATATATATATATAAGTATGCCTTATAATCTATACTATTATAAAGGGGAAACATTTGATTGTTTGTATGTATTGAATAGGCTCCGAAACTACTGAACCGATTTGAAAAATTTTTTCACTTTCGGGAAGCTACATTATTACCAGTTGACAAAGGCTATATTATGTTTTCAAAAAATTAGGGATCCTTAATAAAACTTCAATAATGTAACCCAAAGTGTACAAAAATTACCTAAAATATTCTTTACATCGCGTACGCTGCGAAAACTATTGATGATAGAATAAAGTAATGAACTACGAATTTGCAGAACACACATCATTATTTACAAAAAGTGTCGCGAGAGCATATGTCTAACTATTATAGTTATGCCACAATAAGTGTTCTTTTATTTTAAAATTTTGATTGACATGCCGCCGCTAGAAAAGGCTCTTTATTTGTATCTTGGTATTAATCCTTATAAAAATACATAACTTCGTATTTAAGACTGTTTCAATATCTTTATATAACTTTTTGAATTATTAAATTCGGACGTTCCATTCGAAAGATATCACAAGTTTGAAATTGTTAGTATATTGTAATTTAACTATCCAAACAGCTTCGTGACTGACTTAGTAGTACTTATAATTTTTCAATCACATTTATACTGGTAATTTCTGTTTAACAGTAAGCAAATAATTAAGTACGAAGACAGTATAATTTTCTTTATCATTTTAAAATGGCCAAAAGATCAAGATCTCATCTTTTTAGAAATAGTTCCCGGCGAGGGCATCAAAAATACTTCGTAATGAGGAATCTTTACTGGAAAGTTTAAATCGTCTTACAAGTCGGAGAGAGTCGAGTAGAGCGGCTTGAAGAGCAAAATAATATAAATATACAAATTTACACTAGGGAATCGAGCTCAGATTGTTCCCAACGGCTACGAGATTAGAGAGAAAGACAACAAACGTTAACGACTAGAGTTCGTAATCGACTTTTAGCTCACAGTAACAGATCAGCCTTTTTATGCATTAAGCTCAACAGTCTTCCGTCCAAATCGGTGCCACGATATGATCTGCTCTAAGTGTTCTGCCAAAAAATGGGTTGATGAACCAAATGGTATATGCTGTGCTTCTGGAAAAGTGAGTCTCCCCAATATTGAGGAGCCGCCACAGCCAGTAAAAAATCTTTTGACAAATAATCATTCACCATCTGAACATTTTAACCAACATCCGAAAGTACAATAGTCTCTTTCAAATGACTTCGTTTGACGCGAACTTTTAAAATAGAGGGACAAGTATACAAGTCATCATCATCCTCCTGCCCCTATCCCACCTAGGTGGGGTCGGCACAACATGAATCATGTTGTGGCTATATTTTTACAACCAGCCGCCTGCCTGACGTCAACCCGCCTTGGGAAACAAATACTCCAAATAACTATAACGGTTCATGAGATACCGCCTGTTGATAGAGGGACAAACAGACCGCGGAGTCTTAGTAATGGGGTCCCGTTTTACCCTTTGGGTACGGAATCATAAAAAGGCCCCAGAGATGTAGTGTTGCACGGTAGACACGTCCAACTTAAAAGGGTCTCTGAGTTACACAGATTGTATGATCCACTAAAATATCCCTTAATAGTCGTAATAGGAGAAGACGGTTAATATTTGACTATTCCGCAGCAAGGTACTGTGCGTAACAAAACTGTGACATGCATTTAGGTTGATGATTAGAGCTACCTGTTTTAATCCATTGCTATATTACTGGGACTTATTAGGGTTCCGTACCCAAAGGGTAAAACCGGTTTATTCAATACATTGTCCATATGATGGCAAAAAGTTATCATAAATATTGAATTACATATGATGTCGTGATCACCAGAGACTGAAGGCTGATGAAACCTTCATCTTAGAGACGCTTTAAATCAAGACATTGGCCCATTAAATATCGGTCAATGCGTAATCTGCAACATCATATTCATTTACAGGTTCTCCGAGTTATTTGCATTAAAAAACCAAAGATGGGATGATTTATGCCCGAAGCTATGGAAGACCAGACTTATTTGTCACTTTTACGTGTCACCCCGAATGTCCCGTAATTAAAGCAGAACCATTATCTGTTCTGCGGTCTTTCGATTTTCATCACGAAATTTCAAGGGTATTTCATTAAAAGATGAAGAAATTCATAAAATTATTCATCAAAGACGAAATATTTGGAAGGTTTTATGTGTGTGTATGATAACTTCTAATTTTAAAATTTTGTTAAATATCCGTGCGAAGCCGGGGCGGGCCGCTAGTATATATATATTATAAGGTATCATTTGCATTCTTATGATTTCCTGACTTCAAGAGTTTGCTGGAAGAAAACTCTTCTCTATGGCTTAATTTATATTTGAGTCTTTCAATAGTGAAAATAATGATTTCTGGTGGGAATATTTATTAAATAAAAAAAAAATCTGGAGTCCTCCACTTACGCATCGTATCGCCTTCTTAAGCATTTACTTTTAAAATACTTTCTCCAAACTGAAAACTGGGCTTATCAAGCGTGATTCACTACCGCAAATAAACTCACCGTTTTCATCATGCATCGTGCTTTAAATCTGACATCGACTGTAAATCGATTTGTGGAAAATAACGCGAATGAGGAGCGAAAAACGCACACCGCTCGTAACACAACAAAAGCCAGATAATTACAGGGTGGAAGGGAAAAAAATAACGTTATTGACGTAGCGCGTTATCGCGGGGCGGGCGGGGTCGGCTGGGCGGCAGACGCACGCCTACGCGGCCGACCGCGGACGTGTCTACAGCACAGCGGCCGGGCCACGCGCCCGCCGCGCCCGCACGCTCTACGTACGCTACGCGCTACGCCTCTACGGGTGAGTTGTTTTAAGTTTATTTCAATTCCGATTCAGTTTCGTTGCTTTGATTTTTGATTGTTTCGTTTTAATTACATTTTTTGGGAGGCATTTCAAAAGTGTCAAATTTTTTAACCCTTAAATTGTTATTTACATTTTCCGTTTTCGGTTCTCGTAAGTTTTTCTGTTTTGTAATTAATGTGTTTGATTTTGTAATTTAATTATATACTATCGAATTTTATATAAAATAATTTTATTGAATTAAAATTATAAAACATAATTTTATTTTTATATGATATTTTTTATATAAAAGTTTTTAATATTCGTTAGATATATTTGTTTCGTTCTCCGTTCAATATGGTGTTTTAAACTATAGATGATTACAGTAAACGATGTGCTTTCCTTATTACTTTGAACCAAAACGTTAAAATGCATAGAATAATAATTGAAATTTTTATATGGTTGAAACTTAGACCGTAATTAAATAACGTGATACTCGGATGGATAAAAAAGTATAGTTTGTAAGAATGAGAAAATATAGCTTAATCAGATTAATTAATTTATATCAAAGTTACAAAAGAAATATTTAGTTTTTTGCAATTATGGGTACGTAAATAAAGGTTTTATGTTTCACATTTAAGAATTTTAATTTCGGGACGATACCTTGTCACTGAAGGTCTTCGGATAAATTGATAACATCAATTAATTACGAAGGTCCCTATTATTTAAATAAGCCTCTTAATTGCTGGCTTCTGTAGGGGCCAATCTTAAGTAGTACCTCGGCTTTCTGAAATTTCTTTTTCTCTAAAATTTCAATGAAAATATATTTTAATTAATCCACTTTCTTTAATCCTAATTATAATGGTAGTCAGGGTTCAACGGTGCTATTTATTTTCTTAGTTTTTTTCTTGAGGTAAATCAGTTATGAAACCGGGCAATCCAAAACGAAGAAGCTAGATTATATCGGACTCGCTTCGATTAGGCACACGATGGTCACCATCAGCTGTAGTTGGTTTGGCTTAGATAAGCAGGAGCAGCAGTCCAGTTCCCCCGAGTTGCTATTACGATGATTCGAAACCACCATCGGTCTCCTCAAGTTCTGGCTCTGTTTCTGGTAGAAGAACACAATTTAGAGTTATATTATTGTATCCGGTGGCCCCATCTCCAATTAAGATCTGTCCTCTCTCGACCCATTCAACTGCTTTCTTCTGGACCACCACGGTCTCTATGGCTTTCAAACCACATCTCCGCTCAGCATCGCCAGCACACCTGATAGCAGAGAGTTTTCGCCCAATGTAGCTTGCCGGAATACTACTCTCTATTTCCTATGGTGGGCGTATTACCAATGTGTACTGGTAGCTCACTTCACGGTTTTAATTTGTTTCACGTCTAATTTGCAAGTCTGTAGGTGAGTCTACCTTCCCGTCGTGGCATCCATGCTTCCAAAACCGGTTGGAACTGTTCAATGACGAATTAAACGCATATCGCTCTTGATTGAGTCGAGCGCGGTATACATCGTCGGATGGCAACCCTTTTTGACCACACAGAAACCCCATGTCAAGGCGATAGATCGCATAACCCTTGTATAGAGGCGGTGGAGTTTTATGATTTATTGAGTTCAGTAGTTTTGTTTTATTTTTATGCTAGAAAGTGGCAAACGAATTGCCGTTTCACCTTGTCAAGTGATAACCGCCCATAGACATTTGCATCACTCGTAGGGTTGCAGATGCGTTGCTACCTTTTAATAAAGTAGGGTCCCGATTACCACATTCACCAGACTAAACGCAGATGTGTAATACTTCTACTTCACGCCCGTCTACGTGAGGTCGTGGTACTAACCCGGACGGATCTGGCCATTCGTGCAACAGCGAGGTATAATGCGTGGTCCTACCACAGTTAAATCACAGTAAGACACAGAGCAAGCAGTTGATATAAACCACTATGAACTAGACACTTAGTGATTGAACTCTGAATTCTTTTTTGAACTCGAGTGAGAAACGAATAAAGCGAGAAGAGCTAAAGAATTAATGATTTTATTAAAGACGTGTAAGAAAAGATTAAAATATAGAATTTATGAAATAGTTAACGAGCGTGGTAATAATCATTTTAATTACATAAATTTAAAACAAAACGCTTTTAAGCGTAATTCAGGTTTTCTCACCAAGGTCTTTTCCTCACGCTCAGGGTAAACGTATCGCGTACGTTAATGACAATATTTTTTTTTAATATATTAAATTTACTAATTAAACTTTAAATGCACTAATTAAATTTATTAAATACAGTACTTAGAATAGTTTCATTTAATGCTAAATCATACTAAATCGTTTAAAATGTTTTCTTTTGTTGGTGCATACCTACATGCATACATAAGAAAATAATCATAATTTAAACGTGTTTAATAAATTGCATATACTTATTATGAATAATTATCAAATTTTTGATATTATCAAGTTAATTAGAGCCGTGATAGCTCAGTTTCTGGGCGCTCACCTTTAATCCTTACTAATATTATAAAGTCGAAAGTTTGTATGTATGGATGGATGTTTGTTACTCTTTCACGCAAATACTACTGAATGGATTCTATTGAAACTTTACAATAATATAGCTTATACATGAGAATAAGACATAGGCTATAATTTATGTATATCTGTCTTTCTGTCTTAATGTTAAACCTAAAGCCTATTCTACGCAGACGTAGTCGCGGGCAGCAGCTAGTTCTTACTTCCTTACTAATATTATAAACGCTAAAGTTTGTACGTATGGACTGATCTTTGTTACTATTTCACGCAAAAACTATTGAATAAATTTTAATGAAACTTTAAAATAATATAGCTTATACATCGGAATAACACATAGGCTATAATTTATAAAGATATTGTGTGAATTTTCCAAAATATAGGTAATGATAAATGTCAACTATGTAGGAAAAAATCAGCCATTTGTGTGATATTCTGCTGTATAATAAAAAACTCATTGTTAATTCCTATTGACCGCGTGGGCGAAGCAACGGTTAACAGCTAGTTTAATATACCCGAGTTCAAATCCCAGTGCCGGCACCAATGAAATTGTTAATTTTAAGTGCTGACTTATCACGTGCTCAACAGCGAAGGAAAACATCGTGAGGAAACTTGCATATATTCGAAGAAGAGTAAGATATGTGAAGTCCGCCAATCCATAGTGGTGCCGCATGGTAGACCATGCTCTCTGTACAGAGGAGAAAGCTTTTGCCCAACAGTGGTATATGTATAGGCTGTTTACGAAGTCAAATCTGTTATATAATTTTGCATTAAAAGACCACAGATAAGCATTACATTTAAATAACGGTTAATTTTTTTTATTTAAATCAAGTTCAATACGAAGATAAATAAAAATTAAAAAAATTCTTGTTTCTTTTATTTTTTTAAATGAAAAAAAAAAAAAAAAAAAAAAAAAACCTCTCGGCTACTAATTTATCATAGCTCGTTTTTATCTTTTACAGATTTTTCTTACTGCTTAAGACAAGACTTGAAACGACTTGTACTAATTCTTTTACTTAAAAGCTAGTTTTTTCCTTTAAATCATCTGAAAGCGTACTGAAGTATATATGTGTTATCAAATTAAGAAAGAACTTAAGAGAAAGTCATGAACGGCTGTACGAAAGCCTTTCGGTTTTCTAGTCAATAAATTTACTGAACCCAATTGACTATAATGAAACGATTGCCGCATAATTCCCGCTTAAAAAGTTTTACAATTTAGAGTCATTAAATGAGTTATCACAATGGGCGCTTTAAACATCTTCCCGGGTAGTATTTCGTCCTTGAAAGGACACCTTGGCGGTGTAAAATCCTTCATCTGTCAAGAGCCCTGCTGCCGTCTCCCTCTGATCGCTGAGGAGTGAGCGAGACTTCACGCGCAGCTGATTCAGAAGTGGGTCAAGCTCAGCTGACATCTGGACGCGAATTTAATGTCCATATTTCCGTCGTAATTAGAATAAATTCTATAAGAGGTTCTAGTCGTGGAAAGTTTAATCTTGTTGACGCGTCAACGACAAATAATGCATACTGTTTCTATCAGATATAGTGCCTGAATGATGTTTTTTTTTTCTCAAGAAAGAGAGGATTTAAAAAAAGGGAATGAATGTGGACTGGAATCATCTGGACCCGGACCGGAGTCTTCTGGTTTTGGGACCACCTGATTTCGCACATAAGTTGTATAGGGTGGTGGCGAAATTCGCCTTCGGATTCTAATGATATCGTAACAGTTTTTCACGACTTGTACTAATTCTTTTACTTAAAAGCTAGTTTTTTCCTTTAAATCATCATAAAGCGTACTGAAGTATATATGTGTTATCAAATTAAGAAAGAACTTAAGAGAAAGTCATGAACGGCTGTACGAAAGCCTTTCGGTTTTCTAGTCAATAAATTTACTGAACCCAATTGACTGTAATGAAACGATTGCCGCATAATTCCCGCTTAAAAAGTTTTACAATTTAGAGTCATTAAATGAGTTATCACAATGGGCGCTTTAAACATCTTCCCGGGTAGTATTTCGTCCTTGAAAGGACACCTTGGCGGTGTAAAATCCTTCATCTGTCAAGAGCCCTGCTGCCGTCTCCCTCTGATCGCTGAGGAGTGAGCGAGACTTCACGCGCAGCTGATTCAGAAGTGGCTCAAGCTCAGCTGACATCTGGACGCGAATTTAATGTCCATATTTCCGTCGTAATTAGAATAAATATAAGAGGTTCTAGTCGTGGAAAGTTTAATCTTGTTGACGCGTCAACGACAAATAATGCATACTGTTTCTATCAGATATAGTGCCTGAATGATGTTTTTTTTTCTCAAGAAAGAGAGGATTTAAAAAAAGGGAATGAATGTGGACTGGAATCATCTGGACCCGAACCGGAGTCTTCTGGTTTTGGGACCACCTGATTTCGCACATAAGTTGTATATGGGTGGTGGCGAAATTCGCCTTCGGATTCTAATGATATCGTAACAGTTTTTCACTGCCTGAAAACTCGGATAAAACGACGTTTTTTTTAAAAT